ACCCATATTGAGAATTGAGCCTGCAACCCCAGGCATGTGCCCTTGACTGGAATCTAACCCGGGGCCCTTCAGTCCACAGGCTGATGCTCTATCCACTGAGCAAAACCAGCTAGGGCCTGATTGACTTCATGCCTGCTGTCCGACTTAATGGAATTATAGTCCAGTTCTAACCTTGCTTCTGTGTTAGGAAAAAGTTGAACTAGATGATTTCCAAAGTCTTTCTAATTGTAACCTTACTTTTAACAACCCACATATATGAAAATACTGGTTTCTTTTCGAATCCTTGACTTATCTGTGCTTACAAGTGAATGTGTCTTATAAAAATGTGAGTTAGAAGGAATAGAAAGAATATCATTTTCCCATGCAGTTTTCCTTTCTGCTTCCAGTTTCTCTACTTCTCCTTGCTCACTGTTTAAAATAGTTGTATCTCTTAAATTTTTGTTATAAAGTTATGTGCTCAATGCAACATAACACATGTTGAGAAAATTAAATACACACAGAGAGACATCCTTACACAAAATATAGAAAGAAACAAGGAAGTCTAAGGTGTCATGAATTTTTACTAAGAACCTTCTGACTTCTATAACTTATAGAAAGCTAGTTTAATCACTAACGACACTATCTTGCTAGCTACTACCTTCCCTGGGAAAGATTATTTTCTTAAAATTTTCTTTTCGTCTATCTTTGCTATGTTGTTAACACTGTTAACAAAAAATACAATCGCCTTGCCAGTCAGCCCTGATCACCAGCCAGGCCTAGGAACACTACCTGTGCACGAATTTCATGTACTGGGCCTCTAGTTTTATTATAAATGTATAAATATTTTATGCATAAGGCTCATCTATTGTAGACAGCAGCATGGAAAGCTAGACACAATTTATAAAGTTGATTTTCTAACAGAATTTCTCCAAGCACCAACTTTGGGCATTTAACCAATTTGTAATTTGTTAACTGATATTTGCATTTTAACAAATTCATCTAATTGCATTTTATTTTGAAATTTAACTGTTATTGTGTTTATTTTTCTTCTTTAAAAAATAAACCCTAAAAGAATAAGAATATTGCTTATTAAGAATACTGTAAATAGTAAAACATTGCTATGTAACCTCATACCTAAAAAATCCTGATATTAAATAAACATTGTAGTCTGAAAAATTGGACTTCTTGGGAGGAGCATGAATTCTGGTAGGTTCCAAAGTTCTGCTGTATCTAAATAACATTAGCTTGCAAGGTTATGATGGTGATGGTGACAGTGAAGAAGATGATAATTTATATACAGTCTTGGTGGCCTGTTTTCAAGCCCTAGGATCTTGAAACCCTTCTTATAAAATCACCAGGTAATTAAACTTTTGAATGTGTTAGTTATATATTATCCACAAAGCATGACAACAAACACAAAAACAGCGAACATTTGGAGGCTTACTAATTGGGCCCTTATAAAGCCCATTATCCAAGCTTTGTGAGTACAGTTCTACTAAAACTTTACAGTTGCTCCCATAATTGCCCCGTTTTACAAATGAGGGAACTAAGGCGAAGAGAGATTAGTTCAAGAAGCACTGCTATAAGCTTTGGGATTCCAAGTGGTGTGGCTATGCCATTTCTAAGATGATAGAGGAGGCCAGAAAATATTTTCTTAAAGAGATATATTTTTGCCACATAAACCAACTTAGAGTAATAATATTGTTTGCGTTATTTAACCTGCTGTTAACTGCATAGACAGCTGACTGACTTCAAAGAGCCAATAAGATTTGGAGTTCTGACTGAGAGCCAGATAAAACTTAGGTTAGGCAAAAATTGAATGTAAGTTATCTACAAACACTACTCACTTTTTGTGAGGTATCTCCAGCCTTCTTCTGAGTCTCTTCTTTGATTGCACTATTTGGTGACTCCTTATTTAGCCTAAATTATATAACTAAGATAAATTATATCTTTGTTTTGGGGAAATGTGTCTTTGCACATTGTTTTGTGTCCATTGGTTGTACTTATATGCATGTATACAAGTCCTTCGGTTGATCTCTTATCTCCCCCAGATCTCCCTTCCCTCCCTGCTGTAATTTGACAGTCTGCTTGTTGCTTTACTGTCTCTATATCTATCTTTTGGTTCATCAGTGAATAATTATTAATCCTAATGTGTTAAATCTGAAAAGAAAGAAACATTCATGGAGCTATCAGAAAAAAGGTGTGTATACATTTTTTGGGGACACCCTGTACATTCAACTTAAGTAGGTAGGTCCACATTTTTATCCAAAGTGATTGAACACATTCATCAGCAGTGTCTAGGAGTTCTTGTTTTTTAATATCCTCATCAACACTTGGTTTTGTCAGGCATTAATTTTTGCCTATATGTTTAAAATAATATCAAATTATATTTTCTTTCATTTTTCTGATTTTAATGAGATTGAGCATTTTTATATGAGTACTTAGAAGCCCAGTGCACAAATTCATGCATAGGTGGGATACCTCAGCCCAGCCAGCGATCAGGGCCATCTTGCCCAGTCCCGATCGTGGCCAATGGAGGTTGGCTGGCCAGCTGGGAAGGGACCATGGGAGGGCTCCAGGGCATGTCCAGTCCTCTCGCCAGATCCCAGCAGCAAGCTAACCTACTAGTCAGAGCATCTGTCCCCTGGTGGTCAATGTGCATCATAGTGACTGGTCGAGTGGTTGACCTAACGGACAGACACTTAGTATATTACATTTTTATTATATAGGATCAGTCATTCATGCTTCTTCACTTTGAAAATGCCTATTTATGTCTTTTCTAATGGATTATTAGACTTTTTCTTATTGATTCACAGGATTTTATATTTTCTGAACACTAGAATTTGGTCAATTTTATATGATCCAAATCTCTTTTCTCTGTGTGGGTTTGTCTCATCAGTCTCTTTAAGTCAAACTCTAAAACTTTTGACTTTTGCATTTAAGTACTTAATCTATCTGCAACTGAGGTTTGTATATTTTTTGAGGTAGAAACCAATTTCTCTGTTTTCAAAATAAAACAAAACAAAACTGTTTTCCTAGCTCCATTATTTCTGATATATATCCGATTTCCATATGTGCATGGAAAAGTTTGAGGAGTTTTGTTTTTTTCTTTGAACTTCTAAACAGGTTTTAGGATAAGCTTGTCAATTTTAATTTTGTTTTTAATTTGTTGGAGTTTGTTTATTAGAATTGTATTGGGTTGATTTGGAGGAAATTGACATTTATAGTATATTGGGCCTCCCTAATTATAAAGTTTGTATCTCTCTATATTTAATTCTCTTGAATGTATTTCAGTAAGTATTATAATTTTCTTCATTATGATCTTATATTTTTATGAAAATTATTTCTAGGTTCTTTATATTTTAATACTACCATCAAAGGCATTTTAAATACATTTTCTAATTTTGTTGGAATATTAAAATGCAATTGATTTTTGCATATTGATCTTATATTTAGCTATTTTGCCATATTCTTTTATTAAGTTTAATAAATTATCTAAAGATTTGGGGTGTTTTTTTCTGTATACATAAATACTGCTACTAAGTTTTATTTCTTCCACCTCAGTCCATATACATTTTTCCCCTTACCTTGATGAATATGATCTCTAATACAGTAATGATTCGAATTGGATGTAGTGAGCATCCTTGTCTTGTTTCTCAATTTTAAAAGGTGTGTTTTTAATATTTTACCATTGAATATTTAATTGCTTTAAGGTTTTTATAGATGCCCTATATCAGGTTAGGTTAAAGAGTTTCTTTCTATTCTACTTTTGCTATGAGTTTTTATCATGAAGGGCTATGAAAACCCTATTGGGTATTTTTTCTGCATCTATTAAAATTATGAGATTTTTTTCTATTTAATCTGTTAATAAGGTAAATTAAATTAATAATTTTCTGTTAATAAACTATCCTTGTATTCCCAGAATAATTCTGACTTGGTTAAGGTGCATACTTTTTTGATATACTGCTCAAAAATACAATTTTTGTGGATATAAATTAATTTCAAAATAGAAGCTAAATCTCTGTTGTCAGTAAAATCTTTCCCAAACACCTTAATGGGGTTGTCCACTTTGCTACAGGATGTGAGTTTAATTTCTGGCAGTTACATGGTGGTATTGGCTTGATATGGCAAAAAGAACACTGGAAAACTAAGTTATTTTTGCCCTTCTGTTCACCTGAGAAAATTAATACAGTTCAGTTGATTCATATGGGCCTGATCTCCCTCAATGAGTTTCTCTGAGACACAGGGACATATATTTGTTGCTTGCAGCCATGTGGCTTCACTTGTTTTGCTGTTAGTCCATCATCATCCAACAAACATTTACTTACTAGGCCCTGAGGATAAGGCAAAATCTATTTCTCAAGGAACAACTATTCTATTGAGGAACAGAAAAAGTAAACAGTTACAAAACACAGTTATAAAATGAAGTGATACATCTTATCTTCTACCAACCACACTAGTGGGGATGTGTGGGGATGGAGGGTATGGATAAAGAGTCTTTGGGTGCAGAGAGAGAAATGAAGAATCAGATGAGCTATGATACTTGAGCTAAGTTTTATGGATGATGGACATTTACTAATCTCCAAGAACCTCGTTTGTTTTCTAAGTTGTTAACAAATGATAGTAGCCTTTTTTTGTTTGTTTTTTTCTAGCTGCTCTTTTAGCTTTGAAATTTCATCTCTTTGGCCGTATTATCCTTTTCAGGACCTCATAAGTAATTTCATGCTTTATTAAATGTTTGTGTTCTCACCTGTGTCTGTGGTCCTTGAATCTTTTTTTCCCGTAGATTTAGGATTGTGAATGACAAAGAGAATCTTCTTTGTTCTGTTTTACTAAGTAATACCAATATACTTAATATATAGAATACTGATGATATTGACAAATGAATCATATAAAATTAACCTATTAACTAGTTGTGTATTTATGAAAATGCTCAATTTATTGTTACCATAAATAGATATTTTAAATTCCAGGCTTTTATATAATCTCTAAGCCCATTTCATTTGTATGTCTTATTTCAGTGCTGGACCCAAAGGAGACAACATTTATGAATGGAGGTCAACGATATTGGGACCCCCAGGATCTGTCTATGAAGGAGGGGTGTTCTTTCTTGACATCACCTTTTCACCAGACTATCCGTTTAAACCCCCTAAGGTTAGTATGAAGTATTGATTCCTCTTTAGCAATATATCTTGTAGCTGTGTACACATGTACATATTCTTAAATATACATATCTAAGAATGCTCACCTATCCTGTTAGCATAGACAATGTCCAGGGGCTGATTGTATGTAAAAGTAGAAACAGAATGCACAAAAGTATAGGTTATTCCTCCACTTCAGCCCTGTATTTCATATCTCATTGTTTTTTGCCATCCTTTCTCAGTGTCTCCTTTTTTTGTTAAATATAACATTAGAAAGCATGTTATCGCTGAAATAAAGGAGTAGAATTGGGCTCATGCCAGCCTTTGAGCCTGAAGCTGGAGCCAGAGCCACACTCACACTGGAAGCCGGACTGGAAGTCCACCAAGGCAGGACTTACGGCACCAGCTGTGGACTCCGGGTTCTGGACCCTCCATGGTTCAGCTGCTCACATGCAGTACACACATGCACTAGAATGGAAAGTGTGACCCACAAGGCTTAAAAAAATCACACCAAGAAATTCAGTGAAGAAGTGTTTTCATATTAGTACAAATGAATAATTAATGAAACTCATATATAAATGACTAGAGCAAGTGCAGGAATGCAGTGTCATGAGAATGGGATAGAATTTTCATTTATTTAAATCAAGATTGTGTACTTTAAGAATTCTTCACATTCCTTTCTGTTGTCTATAAGCCAGTCGTTTGACGAGTGTAAGTTTGTTCTCTGCTTTGGAAAGGAAAAGACTCTGAGAACACTGTGTGTATTGACTATTATGAAAGAATTCTCATTTGATAAGACTTACCTCTTACTGCAGAGGGAAATAAAACTTATTTCACTTGTAAGTTGGAGTAAATTTTAAAAAGCAATAAGTCTACACCTTCACCATGACTTTTTATAATTCCCCTATCTTTCTTCTCTTTCTTTCTCTCTCTTCCTTTCTTCCTTCCATTCCATTGATGATTGCATGTTGTTTTTATTTCAAAGCAAAGACTAACAACTTAATTTTTCCAAAGAATAAACCAAGACGTAGGGAAATTAAATAACTTGCTCAGCATTATGCAGCAAACAATTAATGGTGTCAGGGCTTGAACCCATGTTTTTTATTATATTACACAATACATTGTATCCAAGCTGAGAGACTTGGTGGCATTAGTGAACAACAAAAAGGCCAGTCAGCAGGGGGCAGGGCCGGTGTGTGGGCAGCACCAGGCCAGCCAAGGCGAGTGCCAGTGGGCAGAGTGAAGGGACAATAATTGGGAGGGCAACAGCAACCAGTGATGGAAGGGCAATCAGGGGCAGGGGGCAGGGTAGGCGGCTCACCGTCTAGCGCCATCCCCTGATTGGCCCACTGGTTGCCTCCCACAGAGGGAGGCCAGACTGTGGCTTAGGTCCACTTCCCTTGACTAAGCAGTTAGTTGAACATCCCCTGAGGGCTCCTGGACTGTGAGATGGTGCAGGCTAGTCTGGGGGACACCCTGCCCCTGCCAAGTTCATAAAACTTTGTGCACCAGGCCTCTAGTATCTAATAATTATTTTATCCATTTATTGAATTAGAACCTTATGTCTTTCTTTCTACCTTGGACCAGCCCATAAATCACCTGGAATATCTATTATACCACCAGTGATAGAGTACCTTTCTCTGACAGCCTCCTCAGTAAAGGAAGTTCAGAGCAGGGGAGAGGAGGGAAAGCTCAAGTTGGGCACTTGTGCTACTTGTATGTCTGTTGTAGTCTGTCTGCATCTCAGAAAATGTATGGACTTATCCAAGTTCTGCATGACAGAAATGTATAGTTAAACAAAACTAGAAGGGAAAGCTAATAAGATAAACTAGTTCCCTTTCCAAAAAGACCTCAATGAACTGGAAGGATAGGCCAAAACTAACAAGATGGAATTTAACCTGGCTACATGTGTAGTATTTCATTGAGAATCAGAACAAAATCATGATATAGATAGAAAAGAGAGACCTGCTTTATGTTCATATAAATAAAATTTGTGGGCTCTTGGCTGCCTAAAATTCTATGAGGATATGGGGTTCTTGAAAGATTAAGGAGACATTCTTAGGAGTATAATGTTCAGGACTTGGAACTGGTTACATCGCATTTCAAGTGCCTCATTCACTTTTAAGCTCCTCATTTTAAGGACAAATGAATAAGCTTGGGGAAAAGGAGAGTTATTGGCAGTCTTGAGTTTCTTCACTGGGTCGGCATTGTACTGAGCATGAGCTGTGCCTACTTCTCCTCCAGAATACCCAAGGAAGGCTAGGATGTTTCCTTTCACAGATGATGAAGCTTAGAGAGGTTTTCCAATAATGTACAACCACGAATCTACCTGAACCTCTGACTCCAGGGACGATGCACTTTCCACTGAATTATACAGTTACCCTGAAGATGTTTACTAGTAAAAATAGGACATAGAAGGAATGTGATATCTGGCCTCAGATGTTTCAGGAACTCTGAGGTGTGAGTTGGGGTTAGACTTTATCCTAGATGGCTGCAGAGGACAAAAATAGAAGCAGGAAGGTGTCAGTTACAGGAAAGTAGATTTCAATTCTACATGAGAAAAATCTGACCCATAGTTGGACAGTCTGGTTTTGAAAAGCTATGCCTCTGAAATATTAGACTCCCCCCCCCCCCCTTTTTTTTTCTACTGCTAAGCTTTTCCTTTACTGGAAGTGTGTTTATTTGTTTAAAGAATATTGCCAGAAAAAATTAAATCTCTCCACTGAATAAATTTGATTTGATGATTTCTTAGAACAAAGAAAAATCAAACTTTGGTAATGCTAATCACAATTTAAATGCACATTTATTAAAAACTGGTGGGAAGTTTTTCAAAGCATATTATTACCACCTATTACCACCTAATTATCAGTTTTAGAAATCAAATTTTGTAGACAGATAATGTTACTCTAAAGGGGGAAAGTTTGTAGGTGTCTTGAAAACTGTTAACTAAAACTATTACTTATTAGTAGTTTTGAAGTATTGCTCATGCCTTCCTAGTCTTCTGTTACTCTGAGTAATCTATATTTGGGCTTAAACTTTGTTGTTTTCTCTGCTGCCCTCATCCAATGCTCTATTCCAACAACCTTTCCAAAAGTACACTTTGATTCATTCAACATTTCCCAATTCTCTGAAGAATGAACCCAGAGTAGGGTAGGTGTCAGGTAGAATTGTTGGTGAGAGCAGAGGCTCACAAATAAATCTGATTTGCTATCTACTGGTTATCAAATAGCCATACATAAAATTAGTCTGTGGCATGATTGGATCCATGAAATGAACTTTTCCTAAACTTTCCCTCTTGGAATATTTACGTACTGTAGTGCTCAAATATATCGCTTAATGGTTAGTAGAACAATTTGGATGACTCGTCTTGCCACAGGAACTTTGTGGGAGTAGGGCTTCATCAATTTGGACAGCCCCACACTTGAGCACCTAAATCCTAATAAGGCAAGAAAAACAATTTTTATAAGTAGGTTCTTTATACTTATTATACTAGTTTTGCTCATTATATGCTCATTATACTTATTATACTAGTTTTAAAGTATGCTCATTATACTTATTATACTAGTTTTAAATGGGTCAAGTACTAGTTGCACTTTCAAGTTATCTCAGTACAGCTTTTGGTATATTGCTTTTCTTATGCATGGAATCAGTATGTTTATGCGTCTTTTACTAAATCTATAGCAATTTTGTTTGTATAACATTGTTAGTTGTATCTAAAATATCTGATGCCAAGTCTTCAGTTGAATTGTTGTTAACCACTAATAATATTAATTACCTGGGAAAATATTTGTTTAAAGAAAATTTAGAAATGACATAAGGCCAAAAAGAAAAGCATATTATTATACTAGTAAGTATCAAAGTTTTTTAATACCTTTTTTTCTTTTTCACTATAGGCATACATTTTAATGTTATAATTCAGATATCTATTTTAAAGTAGATATTGCTTTATATCTTATTGAGGATTACATTTTCTTATTCATTTTATAGAATAATTTGTGCTCAAAATATGCACTTTTTATTTTAAAAGTCTAATGCATATTGTAATATTTTAACTTTGCAAAGTCTATATACTTGTAATGGAATAAAAAATAATTACAGATAAACAAAAGGAAAAAAATTAAATAACCTATAATCTTAATCCAAAAAGTAATTACTCATACCATTGCTTTTGAGATTTTTGTTCTCTGCATGCCTACATATAAATATGTTTTTATGCATATACAAATACACACACACACACACACACACACACATAAAAATTGGGTCATATTCCTTCATGATTTTAGGATTAATTTTTTACCTAACATTATATATTCACCCATCACTACATATATTTCCAATAAGCATATAACTACATTACAATTATAGAGGCTATGAAGTATTCAATTACATATATATATATATATATATATATATATATATATATATATGTCAAACAACTAATTTTCTGTGATTGGACATTTCAATTCTTGTCAAAATTTCTCTTATAACCAGTGATATATGATTGCGTAATGAACATCTTTATAATTACATATTTTATATACTTGCATTATTATTTCCTAAGGCATATTTGTTGACATGGAACTTCTGGGCAAATGGGATTATACACATTTGTAGAATTTTGATACACAAATTGCCCTCCAGAAAAACATTATATTAATTTACTTCATTGTCATCCACATATGATGGTATAGAATTCCCTACACTCTCATTAGCTCTGAGAGTCCCTAGTCTTTTTTAATCTCTGCCATCCCAGTGGATGAAAACTGATATCTCACAGTTACTTTAATTTTTATTTGACTACCAGTGAAATATGGAATCGTTTTTCTTTTGTCCAATTATTTCTTTTTTTGTGAATAATATGCAAGATTTTTTGAAGTCCCACATCAAATAAAATTAACAAGTGTACTTGAAAAATTTAGAAGCAAAATCATGAAATATGTTTTATTCCTATATTCTTTTTATTTGACTGAAAATATTGTGACATCGTGTCTAATGTTTCACATCTCAGAG